CCCCAAGCATACATTTGGCGTATCTTTCGAACGGTCCAATTAAATTTTCTGCTATTATATGGCTTGTCCAGATTTGCAATTCTATAACTTCTCTATGTGCTTCAAAGTCATTTTACTATCTTTGTTTGAAGTCAAGAAAGAAGAAAGGCTACACTTTTTGATATCGCTAATTTTCTTTTGAAATATTCAGAGGTGATCTTCGTGTGTCGGATGTTTTGTTTCAATATGTTACGAAGAAGTTATGGTTTAAACTGCTACTGGCAAGAACTTATAACACAGCGTTAGTTCCGACTCATCCCAGTAAAATGAAAACCCAATTGTAGATAGTCGCTGTCATATTTTCGCCTTTTTCCCTTTTCTATCATTTCCTTTGTTTTTCGTCTGGGAAACGGTCCTCACTACAGCTCAGTACTATCATGTCACGTTTCTAAACGAACCGTTTTAACCATCGATCCATAATAAAAATAGCTATATAATAATTCAATTATTATTATTAAATCATTTACACGAGAACTTGACATCACAGATCACTATCACTCACGCTTTACAAGTGCTAAGCCTATGTATGAACGTCGACAGACAGACAAAATAGACAGTTAATACAACACTACTCTCCGTTCCCGGTTGTGAACAAGTATCTAATCTAAATCTGTAATAATGCCTTAATGATATTATTTCCAATTTATTGTAAAAAAAAAATATACATAGAAGGAAAACTGCTGCAATATTTTTAAATATACAGCCGAACATAATACTAATCAAATTGATAAGTTTTAAATATAAATAAATGTTGTAGTAAAAAGAGATAGTATTTGATTACTTGAATAAGAGGATAAATTATAATGTATAAAATTGTTGATATAATTTGATATTGAAGTAATTTCGAAAAACATATGGAAAAAAGAAAAAATTGAAATTGATTATGATTCTTAACAACCAGGCAGCAAACAATCTGTTTTTACATGGGTGTGTTCTTTAATTTTTGTGTTTTTTTTCTTTTGATTTTAATGGTGTTTTAAAAAATCCGCCATTACAATATTATTTTCGTGAACCCCCTCTGCAAACACTGCGAACCCCCAGGGGTTCGCGAACCACATGTTGGGAAACTGGCCTAGATAACTGATTGCTATTTATTTATTTTACTGCAAAATGACAAATAAGGCTTTTATTAAAAAGAAAGAAAAAAAAAAAGGTTTAAAAGATTTTGTGGTAAATCCTAGTATATGGTATAAGGCCTTGGCACGATTTTGAAAATTGTCACCAACACCTTCCCGCTTACTGTTTATCATAATGTTGCCATATCCTGTGTGCACCCTACATGGAGGTTAGAATAGAATACATGAACATTATTCTAACCAAAGAACATCTATGTAAAGAAGGAAAGTTTCCACAGACCTAATGCTATTACGCCGCTAGAAAGCGGAGGGAAAATTCGCCAAGGGATTTGGCGACGGAACCTGGTGGCCAGAATTTCCCTCTCCGCGATATATGCAAGAACATGTGTTAAGAAGAAACAGTCTTTGTCTTTGACAAAATGTTTCTTCTTTGATTTTTCGCAATAATTTAAACATGGTTTTTCATAGTTTTCCCCCCTTCAAAATAACTAATCCATTAATTAATTTACTTGCACGAAAACATATTCTCTTTTGCTTTAAGACTAAAAGCAAAAACACGAAAACATATTCTCTTTTGCTTAAGTTTAAAGAAATTTTAAACGAAATTTATTTTATGAACTCTTGATAACGTGACCTTCGAACTTCGACACCGGGTTTCGAGCTATGGCGACAGATATTTCGCGCATGCGCAGCTGATTCCCTCTAGGTTGGAACGGAGCCTCTCCAGTTGCAGAGAAGTTTTCCTTCTTAACAATACATATTCTTTGATTCTAACTTTTATACTACCATACACTAGAATTAAACTGATTTTTTTTGTTTTATACGAGAATAAGTATTTTGTTTAGTTCAACATGGACTGCGCATGCAATTCTCTCGATTCTCAAGGTAATCGGAAACCAAAGTTTCTGGAAACTTGCTCTGCCTTTCTAACATACAATCTAATTGGAGCTGCAAAAATTGGCTTTATGCCAGCTGCGCAAATGACACTCACGTGATACACAATTCGGCAAGAAAGTTATTGCTTCCAACGTCGGCGCAAAACTCACTTTTTTGGGGGGATCGGCGTACGAAACACCCGGACTTTTCCCTGAATTTTTTGGTCAATTTTTGAATTCCCTGACTTTTTCCAGTTTTCCTGGTAGCGTGGAAACCCTATGCAAACATTTGGGAACATTTTAACTAAGGAACACTTATCATTTGTCATTTGGCTGGTATTTCCTTAATTTGATAAATACACCCAGTAACATCAACATTTAAAAGAATTCTTCCAAGAAGTTGGTTTGGTCAGGTTTATGTGATTATGGCAAAGTCTTGAGGGCTATCAGCCTAATACGAGGGATGCCTTCGTGGAGGACTTTCTAAGGGAACTGGCTCGTATACACATTACAAACGGGGAAACCGTGAAAATGCCTGTGCAGCCAGCCTGTTTGTGGGATTCGAACCTCAGACAGAACTACCAGTGTTCAGCGAAATAACCACTTGGACGCTGGTGAACCCTAATTCCCAGGAAGTACCGTAATTTCGCACGTATAGTCCGCAGACACAATTTTATATAAAAAAATTTAAAAAATCGCCAGATAGTCCGCACCACCGAATAGCCCGCGGACTATACGTCCGAAATTACGTTTTTTTAATACGGCAATATTAATGTATTTTAGAAACAAAGAACTAAGTATAAATAGAAAAAAAGTACTTACTAATATACCTTCAGAAATAAAACGCTAAATACAAATAAAAACAGTGCTTACTAATTAATCATACATTAATTAATCACACATTCTACTACATTCATGAAAACCTTCAAAGTCCGATTCATCGGTATCAGAATTAAATAGTTCTAATATATTTTTGGAAAGAGTGTTCGAAAGTTAATTTTCAGCATCACTATCTTCACTGTCAGTGATTTCCTCGCTTTCACTAACAATCCTGGCTTTTATAAATCCCGATCAGGATGGTTGACACTTTAACACTTTTCCAGGATTTATCGACCCATTCGGCAACTTCAGTGCATATGAAGCGCGTCTCATATTTCCTCCTTTTGTGAAAGTATGTAAACCTTCCGACATCCAGATCTCCCAGCAAGCACGTACGTGGGACTTGAAACTTTTGTTCACGCTAATATCCAGAGGTTGCAGGATTTTTGTTAAACCTCCTGGAATAACGCTAAGTTCAGCACCAATGTTTTTTTTTTTTTTTTTTTTAGCTTCCGCCTTTACACTGTCTTTATGTGCGCCCTCATGGAATCCATAATTAGTACTCCTTTGGAATTGAAAAGGCACCTTCTCTCTTCTTCCAAACTTCTTGAAACCAATCGAGCATAATGTCCTCGTTGCAACCAACCCTTTTCATTGCACCGTATTACGACGCTTCGAGGAAAATTTTCCTTGGGAATTGTTTTTCTCTTAAAGATTAAGAGCGGCTTCAACTTTGTGCCGTCAGCACAGCAGGCGAGCATCACTGTGAATTGGGTCTTTTCTTGACCAGTTGTTGTTATTGATATTGTTTTCACTCCACAAGTATCGACGGTGCGATTCGGTGGGCAATCAAATGTTAATGGAACTTCGTCCATATTTATAATATTTTTTAGGGAATACTTCCCTTCTGCAATAACTTTCCTTGTAAACTGAAGGAAAGAAGCTTTTTTTTTTCATCTACGTCGTCCGGAACAGCCTGACACATTGTCGTTCTGCTGCGAACTCTCAAGTTTTTACGACGCATGAAGCGGTAAACCCAATTTATTCCTCCCTTGAAATCCGTTATCTGCATCTCTTCTCTCTTCTGCCATGGACTTCGCTCGGAGACGGATTTTAACTGTTGAAATGGAGCGTCCGATCAAACGGCATTTCTTTGGTCGAGAACCCATCTCAGTAAATTTTCCTCTAAAGCTGTCCATTTTACTTTTCTGTGCCGATTGGATCGGTTTCTTCCCATGCTTTTTAACACATCCCTTTGTTTGCGCCCATTTCTCACCGCTTTCTCGTCCACTTCAAAATAACGGCCCGCTTCTCTATTTCCATCTTTTTCAGCTTTCTCAACTACCTTGAGTTTAGACTCAGCAGTAAAACTCCGGCGATGTTTCATTAACGTTATCGAAAATGAAAGACAAAATACGAAAACAAAATACTGTGCAATGTGCTATCCTCGTGATAAATGTGACCTTCGACCGCACTCACTCAGTGTTGCCAAACCACGCTATAAGTAAACGAATCACGCTTTTTTTTCGTACTCCAGGTACTTGCTACTATGGCTCCTAAAAACCGAGCTGACGCATCAACTACTTTTCCCCTCCCGGCAGTTGCGCTAAAGCAGTGCGAAGGATACTGGGATACAAGACTCTGGTTGCGCTAAGTGAGTGCTCATATCCCGGCATCGCTTGATGCGCCAGCCTGGATTTTAGGAGCTCTACTTGCTACTACTCATTCGTTCTGCACTATGCTCTATGGTTTACTATCGATACGATACATACGAATGTTTTCTTGGAATCTCGCGCTTTTTTTATATTTGATCATCGGCAGTTCACGACAGCGTGTTTTTTAAATTTCAACGATTTTAACCGTGAACAACCAGCGTATTATCCGCACTGGTGGATAGTCCGCAGCTTCAAAAATTCGCATTTTAAACACAGATACTCCGCAGACTATACGCGCGAAATTACGGTTATTGAATTCATAAAAATACTTAATAATTGATTTACAACAAAGTAACAGGCTGATGCATCATTTACAATATATTAAATAAAAAAATTAAGATGATTTAATACGATGTCTCTTAAAATAATTAACAAATTAGTTGCAAATAAATAAATTTGAAAGTTTCATTTGCTTTGTATAAACATTGCAGAGTAAATTACTAATTAAAATTTAACAGTATAAAATGAAATATTACCTGTTATTTTCAATACCATTTGCACATATAGCTTTTAAGTCAAATATGTTTTCTTTTTCAATCTTTTCAGCATGAATTCCCACAGTGATGAAAGGGAAGAAAGTATCATGAAGAATGCGCTTGCTATCTATATATGCACAAATAATCACAGATAGAATTAATACTGAAGATAAGCCAAGGAAAGCTAAATATATGCAGAGTTCCCAATATGGTCTAGGCAAAGCTTGAGAACAGAATGCTAACAAATGACGAGGAATTGTAGCAACAACTGTGTACTGTAAAGTCTGCCCATCTGGACCTTGGCTAGTACGAATATTAAGCACTCTTTGTACCTGAGTTAATGAGAAATCAGGTGTATACCTGCGAAAAAATTTGATTTCATTAACAAGGAAGTATTAGCAGTCATATACACTGATGAGCCAAAACATTATGACCCTCTCACACTTTTCAATGAACTCGTCTAGATGATATGGAGGGATGGTACATAACTGCAGCTGGAGAAGGTAAGAAATTATTTTTGCACTTACTTTTGCAAGTGATGGGAAAGGCTGCTGATTTAAGCAAATGTGATAGACAGCAGACTGTAATGGCTGGAAACCTTGGAACGAGTACCTACGAAACTGCACAACTGGTACGTTGCTCACATCTACAGTTGTTAGTATTTATGCAAAGTGGATAAATGACAGTGAAACCAGCAGTAGGTGCCAAGCTTTTGGACGTCCACACATCCTCAAAGAAAATGGATGGCAGAAACTGTCTTACTTGGTGCAGCTAAATTGGTGCGAGACAGTAGCGCAACTAACAGCCCAATGCAATGCAGATCCAAGTGCTTCAGCTAACATAGTTTAGTGACTTGGATATGGGACTGCACAGCAGATATAACACTCATGTGCTTATGTTCACCAAGTGCCCTTGTCAACCACACGTACAATGGGCCCAGGAAAAATCTTAAGACTGGACCATGGATAAGTGGAAGATAGTTGCCTGGTCAGTGAATCACAATTTCTCATTCATCACATCATTGGTGCTATAAGGTTACGCCATCTTTCAGGTGAACATTTGCTCCCACAGTGTACAGCAGGTATTCACAGACTGGTGATGGTGGTATCATTCCTTGAGAGTCGTTCTCATGGGCGGCTCTGGGACACTTAGTTGTCGTAGAACAGACCATGAAAGCTGCAGACTATCTGAACATAACTGCAGATCAGTTGCAACATTACATAGCATCTGTCTTCCAACTGGAAATGAAATCTTCCAGGAGGACAATGACCCATGTCACAAATGCTCGAATTATGTGGGAGTGGTTTAAGGAGCATAAGGATGAACTCCAATTAATGTCCTGGCTACCTAACTCACCGGATCTTATCCCAATAGAGTACATTTGGGATGTCATGGAACAGCAACGCAGAGCTCAAACACCATGTCCGTTTATCCCCACTTTGCGTTACCGCTGCTTAGACATATGATACAACTTATCTCCAGTAATCTATCAAGAGCTTGTGACATCCATGCCAAGGTGAGTTGCAGCTGTTCCGCAGGCCGCAGGTTGCACAATGTGTTATTGAGTAGGTGGTAATAATGTTTTGGCTCTTCAGTGTATAAAACAAATACTGAAAAATTGAAAATGATTTAAAATTATTGGTATTTTAAATACAAAGTATCCAACATTTTATCAGTAAATACATGCTCTATTTTTAGAAAATAAGTTTTGATAAACACTTTTTTAGCTAAAAAACAACATATATGTTAAATATGAAATACTTACGCAATGTCGATCTTTCGACTCGCATTAGGTTTCAATTCAAAACCCACACAGTTTAAAACTCTGAATCCATATCCTTGGCATGGTTTTCCATTAATATCAAAACCTTTTATATAAATAGGTAATGCACCAGTATTTCTGGCAGTGAATGCTCTTCTCACTGTAAAATTAGGTGCTACATACTTTGGAGATTTTGTACCTATGAGGCACAAAAAAAAAAAAAAAAAAAAGGGGGAACTTAAAAATTTATTAAATATGAGCTTTTAACTATTACTGTTATTTTAGAGAAATGATCACTTACCATCACAATCCTTCAAAAGTCTCTCAGTTAGTTCAAACATTAATACAGAATCACTTCCAGGAGATATATTTCCAAATTTAATTTGACCATGGCCACCTTGACCATGAACGAGGAGAGCATCCATAACTGTCAGATTATTTCTATTTAGAAGAGAAAAAATATAATACTTAGTTAAAAAAGAATGAGATCATTATTACAAGAAGCAAAGAATTCAGCATTAAAACTGGTACAGTTTAGTGAATATTTTGAGGCACTCAATATTCATGCATAACTGTACCCAGTGGTCAGTTTTAGGATGATTGCATGAGAACTTTCTTGAATTTCTAATTTGTGAGCTCCTTTTTTGTTTTCTTCGTATACCCAGAAAAACACGAAACTTTAAATTATGTTAGTCTAAGTAAACCAATAAACTGAAATTAGATATTTTCTCACAAAATAGTGACAGTCTCTTTTTCATAGCTCACTACCAGTTCTGTTCATTACAAAAACAAAACTCATATCTGCGTGCACAAAACTGCCACAATTTCAACACTTTGCTGCTACATGACAAGCGCAAATTTGAAGCCAAGTTGTACCGAGCTAAACAGTGTGAATTTTCTTGACAGAGAAACATCACAATTTCTATTCAATTTTAATATTTCTCTTCTATTTCAATAATCAGAAAGGGATGCTATACATATTAATAGTTGAACTTATTGCTAGTAAAGTAAACTGAAAAATATATGTTATGATGAAGAGATGCACTTGATCATGTATTACAATAGCAAAATTTTCAAGATTCTTCATGAAAAAGTTACCCACTGATTTGTAACATTTCTATTTTTAAAAGAAACTTTCATATGCTAGGAAACTTTGATAATTTTTATCCAATCAGTTATCAAGTCAAACCATAAATAATGCCTCATTTCAGACAAGACTTGTTAAATCATGTTTAAATACATTTAAAAGAATTAAGTTTTGTGAATGTATAAATACCACATAATAAAGAATTTCTTTCATATAAACTGTAACCTGCAAGCATCTGAGCAGTAAATTGTTGCTTTAACAGGTTCCCATTAAAATTCAGTCCCAGATGAGAACATTAGATACACCATGTTTTACGAGTATAAAAAAAAAGCAATCATGCAGCAAATGTGAAAAATGTGAAGAAAATGTGTGGTTGCATACTCAGAAGTGCCAATGATACTTCTGTAAATTCAGAAAAGGCAACCTTAGCTTGAAAGATGACAGCTGTGGCGGTTGCCCAGTCTTTCCGATAATGACAGTTATTTTTTCATTCAAACTATCTTCTAATTATGTAATCATTATTACCTTGCTATTCTTTTATATTACTTGCATTGCTAAAACTTTGCTCCCTAGATTATTATTATTGAAATTGTACTCGAAAAATATTAATGCAAATTCCTTCTGAATTTACAGCTACATAAATTAGATTACTGTTCAAAACTCTGCATGTTTGCATAACTGTGGAACTGAAACTCATCTGGAAGCATCTCAGCAAAGCTTCCAGATTTCCAATATGAAAAAAGTCTGCTTGAAGTAAATAAGATTTACAGCTGCTGCATTTAAGCAATAGAATCAAAAGATGTCACTAAATATAATATTCCACAAGCACACCAAATTAAACTAGTGGATCTGCCTGATAAGTTTCCACTCTTGCCATAATTAAAACAACGTATAATCAGACACCATTCAAACAACACACACAACAAAAGAATTACTAGAAATTAAGACTCCAAAGAAAAGAACTCCAAAATACTCCATGCAAAAAAGTCTCATGGGATACCAGAAGAACTTACCAAGATTCTGGTGGAACAACTAGAAGTAGAGATAAAAGAATTCTCCCAACTCTTCCATTTTCCTGAGAAAGGCAAAGGTACCATTAAATGGATTGTAGAATGTTTCCCTGAAGCTTTTAAACTCTGCTTAGTAAAGAAACATATTTTATGCAGGCTGGTAAATGTATAGATTGGCAGAATTTTTTGCATCTAATGATATTACAGATGTCAAGAGTTTGACCACCATCCAAGTCGCTATTACCATACACTTTACTATACCTTTTGTAGGGACTATCCTCGCATTAATGAATGCAAATCTGAAACGGCCAGTTGCATAAACTGCAAGCTGCACAACAATGCAAATGGACTACATCTATGAACCAACCACCCAGCGTATTCTTGGACTTGTAATAAATGTCTTTCATACAGGACATATCACTCTTAAAAAAAAAAGGGGGGGGGACGAAGACATAGCAAATACACCAATCAGCCTCCTGCCGGCAATTGGTAACACCATAAATCTTCTTTCTGCTCTGCTTTATCGTGACTTAAAAAATCTCTCAGACAGATAAACATCCCAAGAAATATCTTTATTATTATGCAAAACTGTCTACCCAACAGAAGAAGGGTAATCACCGACAATAACCAAACAGTAAAAAAACACCATAGGAGTGGGTGTCCACAAGGATCCTGTTTCAGCATGGATTTCTGGATCCTTCCTTACCTTTAACTCTACTGTATCACATCAATGACCAAATCATACATAAGCCCCGGCATTCACAGATGCTACCGCATTTGTCATCCCTGGCAGAACAAAAGAATTCAAAGATAATATTTACCTTTTTCTTGTAATCTTCAACCAACTTTGTAATGCACAAAAACTAACAATTTCACAGGAAAAGTCCATAATGATGACATTCCACGAACCCGGCCAAAATTAATGGGATAAGAATAAAGATTATAAAAAAAAACTGAAATTCCTTGGAATTGCAATAGACGGAAAACTCAACTGGATAGAACACCTTCAAGATATTAGAATAAAAAATTGAAAAATAACCATCTACATAAGAAGAATGATGGGATATGTTTGAGGCTTAAATGCTTATATCCAGTTCAACACTGTGAGTGAGAAAATTGTTAATTATGGAGCTTCTACCTCAGCAATCTCTATAACAGAAAGGAAGAAACTACAGTTCCATGCCATTAAATGACCATTTCTCATCAACATTACAAAATCTTTCTACACCACTTCTAATGATGCACTGTGCGTGCTCTCTAGAATACCTCTTTTATATCTTCTATTGTAGCTAGAAACATTTAAAACCAAATAACTTGCAATTTTAAAACTCTCCATATTCTCGGCACCCTGCAAATTCACCTAACTCAGTGGTGAGGCTTGCTAAGAGTTTTTCATGACCCGCCAAGACAGAAAAATCTGCCTTGAATGAACACTTCCTTTCTGTGTGTCACTGAAGTTTCATAATCATATTTCCACTACGATGGCCAAGTCAATACGCATGCACAGTGTAGATAGATACAATGTGTAGTGCTTTTCCGGTTGATCTGATAAATATCAATCTGGTCTTTGCAACAGTAAATATATAAATTCCTAACTTTAGTAAAACCACGAACAGTCTAAAAACACATAAAATTAGTGATGAATGACGTGTGCTTAGTTAAGAATGCACAAACACATATTTCTTTGGTAATACAGGGAATAAACCATAATACAGGGAATAAATCATAAAACGATAGCCACATTTAAGAAGTACAATCTGAAATGACACAACATAACAAATAAATTGAAATTAGTACAATAAACAAATTGAATAAAACTGCCATTATTTATTTTATTTATATTTATTGATTTTCATGGTATAGGATACACCTTTTCTGAGATGCAAAGTTAACTAATGAATGCAATCATTTTAAAAAGTGCAGCCCTGTACTTCTAGAAAGTGGCCCCTAAGCCAAAACAATTGCCCATCCCTGATCTAACATAAGAATTTACTTTTAACAGCCTATAAATATCCGTAAATACTAAACAACACTTACAAATGTATCTAAAATAGAAGAAAAAGTAAGATCAGCCTGCATTTTCCATAAAGATGAAAATCTAAAAATACCCTGGAAAGAATGCCAGAAAATGCAATTTTTCAAGTGGAAATTATAGGCAATAGAAATTGCAATAAATAATAAATCCAGTCAGCTTGCAGTTTAATCAGATTCTCCTTTTTTATTTACTACATGCATTAGCGAATTTCAAACATCCTTCTCGAAAAGCATACGAAATCTTTAACCTCCTCCAAAAAAAAAAAAAAAAAAAAAAAAGCTAAATTTAAATTTCGCATGGTTGGTCGAAAACATGCAGGGAAGGAAATGAAGATGGCAACTTCCTTGCTAAAGCTGCAGCTATCACTCCTGATTTGAAAGATAAATTAAAATGGCCTAAGTCAACCTCAAAAAAGAAGCGCATAAGAAAATTAATCATATCTGACAGAACTAATGGAACTCTGCTCTCCGAGGCAATAGAACACAAGAGCTAATCACAATTCATATCTGGATATAGACCTTTTCCCACTTACTACCACAAGAAAAATATCTCTTTCTCGGACAACTGTGTGGTGATAATGGATCTCCAAAACATTACCTCTTCTCATGCTTATTAACAGAAGCACATCACAGTGTTAAACCAGCTACAAATGAACATGAGTTTCGAAGATATATCATATATAATCTAAATTTTTATTATAATATCAGGAACACTATAAAATATGTTTCAAAATGAAGGTAAGATTATTTGTAAACTGTTACAAAAATGTCCTTACATTATACAAATTCTTCTAAATAACTGTATGAAAATGTTTGGAACGTTTACACAAAGCTTCTGTAGGATGCTTCACTGGATCAGTAGCATCACATAACTGTTAGTACCTGTATTACTATGGCAGTAGCAATCCGGAGGAACAATTACGAGCCTGGCTTTTTCAGAACCTGGGCAGACCATTTCATTATGGTTAGATGTGTGTGTGGGATCTATATAAGTCCTTTAGTTAATGGCACCAGTAGCTCGACACGATGTAATGCTGGTTAATGTTCTCGGTGATGGACAACCCACATAGTACTGGTGGGAGCATTTTTGATGTGTAGTCACATTTCCAGGTGAACAGGGCATGCCACAAAAGTAGAGCCAAGAACAGGTCGAAAGTGCGGTAAAGAGAAATTAAGAAGTCCGTATGAGCCCATAGAAGGACCCAGGTGCTCAGAAAGTGCATTCGTAAGCACTTCCAAGGTGATTTTGGCTGGACTAATATGAGGGTTTCTGCAGGGGCTCAAGCCCATGTAATTGCATTCAGTTGCAG